CTACTATGTTGCTACGATATTTTGTTTTAATTCGGCTTGGGGGGCTAAATAACCTTGCAATAGATGCTGAACTATTCGGAATCACTAATTAAATTTGTAGCATTGTGCACACACTTTCCTATCCTCTACATCTGCCAGCATAGGTTCTTCACTTATTTCTGTTATGGAATAGTGAAGTTCGTTGAAGTTATTTCCATGTTCATACTCTTTGTCAGGTCTTCCAGATTAGTTTTCACAGACTTAAACTTTTACAAATTGCTCTAAATTGTCGATGAGGGAGTTTGGTAATTCATTAACAGCGAAAACTAGAGATAACTTTAAACAACTTATTATAAAGAACTCACTTTTTTTCTCAACACTTGTCATAGCTGTTTTCATGTCTTATTCAAAATGGCGGAAGACTAAATTTTTTCCAAAATTCGAGAGATTCGTGCATTTTAAAATTGATAAATTCAGTGCGCGAACTTCTCACGTTAATAATTTTTTATTGCGAGAAAAGAAAAAAATATGTGAGATTCTCGCGTTCTCGCTCTGTAGTGAAAACACTGATATATATATATAATATAAATAAATAAATACAAGAAAACATGAAGAAAGTTAAGAAAAACAATAAGTTTCATTTATTGCGCATAAGCCGCAAGTAAACATAATTCATTAGATAAGTTCAAAATGAAGATAAAACAAAGAAAAATTATATACGCACATCCTTGCACACATCTATTTCGGGCCCATCCTTGGTTGCTAACAAATCAATGCACAGAATAACAAATCACTTCAGCAGTGCAGTAATAACGTCACTTTAAAACCCTCTAATTACACTCAATTTGCGCTTTTGTTTTCATATTTTGTAATGGCAATCATGTTGCGAAAACATTTTGAAATCATTCTTGAAAAATTTCCCGTCCATATAAGTACATCTGATTTCGCTACTCGCTTTATAGTCTATGTTTTATACTGTTTTTTCTTTTATTTTATTTTCTGTTTTTACATGTTATTTTTACTTATTGTGTTCTATTTTATTTATTGTAATTTTTGTAAAAAATTTTTTTGAGTGCTCCTCACACTATTGTATTAATATATTTTGCTTTGGCTATATTGATACAATATCAAAAAGCACTCTTTTTTGCGGATATAATCGTGTGGGCTGATGAAAAGATTATATATTTTGATTATTTTTTTCCGGTTTTTTTAAATACAATTTCATTCTTTTTTTTTAAACTTGTTTTTTTTTTACTTATTATTTCCCCCCCCTTATTCATATGTCTATGATTTTTCTTTGTTTTATCTTCATTTTGAACTGATATCTATCTATATATCTATCTATATATATATATATAATACAAGATCTTTCATCTCAACATTTATCATTTAAATTTATCTACAGAATATGGCTATTTTAGTCTGGAACCAATTTTAATATATTCTGAGACAATTTTTAAGTGCAAATACTTAAAAACACAAAATTTGCATTTAAATATTTATTATTTACAAATATATATATTTTTATTTATTTTTTTTGCATCAGGACGAGTTACAAATAAATTAATCAATTTTGATTAGCATATAATTAATCAAATTATGTAAAAATTAACAATTATTGCTTAGTTACAGAAATTTCTTAACTGCAAATTTCCCTGTTTACACCCACAAAGCTTGTGTGGTTTATGAAGAATTGCAATTTATAGAATTGTGTTATATAGGTGTTCGACCGTATATATTTTATTGAAAAACTTCAATATAAAGATAAAAGTGAATTCAAATAAACCTTGAGTAAACCATGTAATTTTAAATTCTAAAAGAATGTTTTACTTTCACACTGAATGTCATGTGTATTTCTACCTTAAATTGTTATCATTTGAGGTTTTTCAAAGCATTTTTTCAACATTTGTTGACTCTTAGTTTACCTGAACATACTTTCTTGTACGTTTTAAATTCTACATTTTAAGTTGACTCATAATTTGTTACGAAGTGTTTTTGTCATGGTATAACATCGTCTTCTTGAAATAGAAAGTTATGTAATTTTAATTTTATTATATATAATTGTAATTTTATTATATATAATATTTTATTATATATAATTTATTATATGTACTTTTTGTGTTATTTTATTATATATAGAAACATCTTAAGTTTTTGATAACATTCCTACTTGTATTTTTTTAGGAAGATGCAACTTTGCTATTAGACTATCAACAAGATATAAGAGAGGAATGTTCTAAATGTGGAGAAGTCAAAAAAGTTGTAATCTATGATGTGAGTAGTTAAAAAAATCTTTTATCATAATTTTTACTCTTATTTTATTTGGAATTCAATTAATGATGAAAATACTCTTTGTTTAAGAAATCACAATCTTTATTTTTATTTTAGACAAGTATTTTTTTCTATCACTGTAATCAGTTTTGAAAAGAAGTGAAAAAGACATTTTGATATTTTTTTATTTGATATTCATATTGAATAAAATGTGGAAAGTAGTGACAAACTGTACTGTAACTCTTATAATTTTGCTGATCATCACTTTTAGATTGATTAAAAGTTATAACTACTTTCCCTTTTTGAATATATTGTGATTCAAATAGTTCTTAAAATTTTTTATAAAAGTGGTTTCTGTTTCATTTTAAATAAGCTAGTAAAATCTTTTTAGCATAAATTTACGTTTTGCAATTATGAATGCAAGATTTTAAAGTACTTAAGTACTACGATGATTAGAAACATATATATATATTTTTTAATTCACTTAATCCTCTATTTTTTTTTCTTATTCTATATGTGAATATATTGTGATCCAAATAGTTCTTAAAATCATTATAAAAAGGTTTTCTGCCTCATTTTAAATAAGTTAGTAAAATCTTTTTAGCATAAATTTATATTTTGGAATTGCAAGTTCAAGGTTTTCAGGTACTTAAGTACTGTGATGTTTACAAACATAATTATATGTATGCCCCTTTAATTTTTTTATTTTTGTCATATTCACTTTATCCTCTTTTATGTTTATTTTTTCTTATTCTGCTTTTACTTTTTTTTAATCCTGAATTTTACTGAAACTCTTAGAAAAGCCAAGTTAAGTTTCATTCATGTGCTTCTAAATGAAATAAATTACAAAATTTTAAATTTTTTTTTTTTTGTTGAAAAACAGCACTGTTTACACTGAAAATTTGATAATTTCTTCCATTTTTATCACATTTATTTGTTGGTTTTGTAACATACATAAGTAGCTGCTGCCATTTGTATATTTATTTTTAATTTTTATTGACTGATTAGTTTTATCAAATTGTGACTATTAAGATAATTTATTTATATACAATGGTGTCCAACAGTTAAACATACTGTTACGGAAGACATCCAATGTGTCTGCTTTGTTGTGAAACTATTTAATTACTTGGCTGACACATCGGTCTGAGCACTTTATTGTTCACACACTGATCTCCCAGAGCGCTTTATTGTTCAAATCCCAGCTTTCACATATGTGTGACAACGTTCTTGAACGTTTTAAAAACTATAATTTTTTAAACAAGGAAGGGTTGTTTTCCATTGATTTGAGATGCATGTAGATGTTCAACTCAAGATGTTCACATGATGTTCAAGATGTGAGATGTTCAACTCAAAACAAGAGACTCAATTGCATTTGAGTTCTAATTATATAAACATGGGAGGAAAGGAGTGTTTCTAAATAGAATGCTTTATGATGACTGTTTAAAATTAGCATAAACAAGTGGGAGATAAGTGTATATAGTAAGTGGGAGCATAGTAGTGTGATAATATATATATATATATATATATACTGCCTCTTATAGTAAGTGGGAGAGTTTTAGTTTTGCTAGAGCGTTGTATATTTGGGCTAAGAGTATAGTTTTCAAATGATAGTTAGACCTTTTGAGCATCGAATTTTTTAAAAAAAATTTTTATCACTTCAATATTGGAGCATTGAAAATAATAAGTAAATATTGAACAAAAATTGTATGAAAATAAATTTAAATTAAAATATACTTAAGTAAATAATGCTAAAAAAAATTATAGTATATTTCATTTGTCTCCTTTTCAATATATTATTAAAGAAGACTTTTATATATCGGTAGTTTCATGAGTTAAATCTTAACAGCAAAAAACTCTCCGATTCTGGAGAGACTGGCGCTTGTAAAAAGTCTTCTGACCTCTGCGTGGGTTTGCTACTCCCATTGTGAAATGATTTACATAGCTGCCAACTCTACTTTATTTTCCAGTAGACTACTGGATTTTGATAGTTTCTCATGGTCTAATGGTTTAATAAAAATTATCCTGGTTTTTACATTTATAAAATTCCCTAAAATTGAGTAAGTTTCTTAAAAAATCTTTATTGAAATAGAATTTTGGCACCAATTATTACTTGCTTTAATATTTAAGTAATTATTACTAATATATAATGAAACAAGCCTCATTTTCTGAAATCAGTTTAAATCTTTTTTTTAATTTTTTATCAAAAATGTTCCTTTTATTTTTTCTCAGAACTCCCTTTTTAAAATAATTGAAAAATCTTAATTATTTTTTATGAATTGAATGCCAATTACTATTCAAAATTATTATTAAACTTAATACATAACATTTAAAGTATATCTAATGCCAATCATGACTGGAAAATATTGCAGTTTTTCTTTTTTGATGACTATAAAATTCCCTATATATAATATAATGTATTATATATGTAAAATATAATGTAAAATATTTAGTACATTATGCAACAATTATCATGAAATTTATATTTTGCAAAATCTACTGGAGTTTTTAATATCTATGTTGGCAGCTATGGATTTAGACACTTTTGACTTATCCTAATGTATACATTTGTAGAACAAGCATTTACTATTCGTTTAAATGTTTTCTTCTATGTTAAATAAATTTAGAGAAATCCTGAAGGTGTTGTTGCCGTTACCTTTGCTGAACCTGAAATGGCTGACGAATGCATTAACTTGATGAACAGAAGGTGGTTCGCCTCTCGTCAACTTACTGCAGAAACGTGGGATGGAAAGACAAAATACAAAATCACCGAAACAAAGGAGGAATTGGAGAAACGTTTGAATTCTTGGGACAAATTCTTAGAGGAGCCTTCATCTGCAAATAAATCACATGCAAAAGAAACGCAACCTGCTGAAGTTGCATCAAAAGCGGGTGAAGTTAATATAAGCTCGAAAGATTACGAATTGGCTGGTGAAACAGATAGTTCTGGAGACTCAGAAACTGAGGATAAAACCACAACTCAATCTAAAGAAAGTTACCCAGTTATGTTATCTAATGGGGGACTTTCTTTTAAAAATGTTGATCAAAATAAGACAGGATTGTAAAATAATATTTAAGTGCACAATTATGTGATGAAATTATTATAATAATTGTTATTAATTTTATTTCTGTGAAGGAATTATGGATTCACTGTACATATTTTCATTTTAACGCTATAGACATATTTTTTAAGTTGCTGTTTACCTATTTGTTTGATACATTGAATGTTATTGAGTGATGAGGCGAACGAAATAAAAGCTTTCATTTTTTGATATTGGTATTTCTTATAATGCATTGTGATGTTATATTGGTTGTAAAATTGAAAAGGAACACTATAATTTGGAGAAGAAAAAAAATTATTATATGTGCACTCTGTCTGAAAAACACAGTAGAAAAATACATAAAAGCATCACTACAGGCTGTACTAAAAATTATAATATGTAAGGCATATGAAAAAAAATATTTGGTCTCATAATTATTCATTAACCGAGAAAGAAATCGCATAGCCTATCTTTATATTATTTATAAAAACATGTTTGTCTTTTTTTTTTCTTCCCTCAAATATATAATTTTGTATAGCAAATTTCATTAATGTTTTTTGGTAGTATCTTTCGTTAGTCTACATGAATTTACAATTCAAATAGCAATAGTTCAGTACATTATTAGTTTTAGATGAAAGTTTTTGAGGATTGATATTTAATAATGAGAAAATACAGGATTCAGTAAATATTTTATTTCACTGTTAATGTAAAAAGATGATTTTCAGATAGACAAGGTCATATTTGGGATTGAAATAAATCTTGTGTTATCAAATATATATGAAGATCTATTGGACAAATACTAATTTAAGTGGTGCCTACTTAAAATTTATTGATCCATTTTTAATTTTGAGCTGTTTTATTACAATGAAATTTTAAAAACAGTTCACGAGAGTTAAAAAATCTCGTTACTGGATAGATCAATCAAAAGGGAAGTGTAGCAGTAGTTATTCAGAGGGAGATTATCTACAAAGTTAAGCTAACCAAATCATCGTTTATTTTGAATTGGCGAATGGAGAAAGCCTAAAATTAGTTTTAAAAAAATTAAAACAAACCTGTAAACTTTTAGGCTAATTTGTTAGGAGATAAATGAATGGAAAATGAAATATAGATTTTGGTTTATGTTGTTATGACTACATTGAATAATATGTTAGCTGTATTATTTATTGAGATTTGAATGGCTATTTAAGAATTAAATGACATGAAAAAGCTAGGAAATGTGAAAGGAATATAATAGCATGAGAAAAAAATATGTTTGAAAGATGTGTAGAATTAGAAGAAAATGTTCCATTTCAGAATAATTTTTAGAATGTACAATGTAAGGTATAGCTGATTTAACTCATAAGATAATTTGATACACTTGTAGTGCCATACAAAGTAAATTAAATAACTGCTTTGTGCAATAAAAAAGTTTTGTATAAAATATATTTATTTGGAATAAAACATACAAAATTAGTTGTTCATACAAAAAAAAAGCCATAATAGCTTTTGTTGAAAAGAAAAATAGCAATATATAAATTCACATTTATTCAATAGTTTTTATTGTTTTTTTAATACTAAGCATCTTGTATTAATATAATTTAAATGCATTTGTGTTAAAGTTAATACATTTTCCCTTTTTTGTTTCTTTTTCATTATTAGCAGAAAAATGTAGCATTTTTCACCTTTTATCATAATTCCTAAAAACAACTTTTATGCGCATGTGTTAACATAGCTGCCAACTCTACTGGATTTTCCAGTAGACTACTTGATTCTGCCAGTTTCTTCTGGTCTACTGGTTTTTTAAATTCTCCTGGTTTTTGTACATTTTAGAAAATTCCCTAAAATTGAGTAAATTCCTTAAAAAATCTCTATTGTAATTGATTATTGCTTGCTTGCTAGAATATTTAAATAATTATTACTAATANTGGATTATCCAGTAGACTACTTGATTCTGCCAGTTTCTTCTGGTCTACTGGTTTTTTAAATTCTCCTTGTTTTTGTACATTTTAGAAAATTCCCTAAAATTGAGTAAATTCCCTAAAAAAATCCCTATTGAAATTGAATAATTGATTATTGCTTTCTAGGATATTTAAATAATTATTATTACTAATAACGTAATGAAGCGAACCTCATTTATAGAAATCAGTTTAAAACTTTTTTTGTTCTAAAATGTTAAGTTTAATTTTATTCAGAATTCTTTTTAAGTTAATTAAAAAAATCTTTTAATTATCTCTGATGAATTAAATGCTTATTAATATTTGAAATTATGAGTAAACATAATACATAACATTTTAAGTATGTTTCATGTCAATCGTAACTGGAAAATATTGCAGTTTTTCTATTTTGATGACTACAAAAATCCCTAGAATTCCCTGCATGTAAAATATTTAGTACATTATGCAACAATTCTCATAAAATTTCTGTTATTTTTAAAATTGACTTTATTTTTTCCTGTCCATGTTGGCAGCTATGAAACCAAGTGTAATTCTCACCACTCCTGTTCAGAACTGGAGAGGAGTGATCTCTCTTTGATAATCCTGTTACTGTCTTTGAGTGATCGGTCTTCAGGACTTGTTCTAACTAAAGACTGGATCAAGTGGAATAAGAAACAACTCTAATAATCTCTGACTGACTGTATTGAGGTCGCAGACAAATTTTGATTTATGAAAATAGTGCTGCAGATTCACTCTGTAAATTCTGCTGTGGGGTTTTGTGAATAGCGGGGTCTTTAGTTTGCTTTCTATTGGTGATTTTTGCTCTCCAATTAATTGCATGTTATTTGTTGAATTTTCATGCAGCATATATTAAATGATATGATTACGTAAGCATGAAATGAATTTGTTTCAGATTTTACAGAAATTTGACCTAGCATAATGAAACTTATATAATGCAGTGAAACCTCTCGGAAGCGACCATTCTCTGTCTCCAAAGTAAAATACTCGTAAATGGAGGTTGGTCGTTTTTAGGGGTTCCCTCCATTGACTTCAGAAATGTTATCAAAGATTCATGATTTTTCCAAACGATTTTAATTTTACTCAGTGTCATTTTCTTGGAGTGGAAATGCCTCTTTTGTTGTCCTTATGAAAACCGGATCAATGAATGAAATTTAGTGATCCCTACTGATATAATTATGAGTAAAAACGAATTTACCAATTATGAATGATAGAACTATTTTAAAAAAATAAACAATAATGTTTTTTTATTTAAGTTTGCATTTAATTTTATACCATAAAAATGAGTTAGCTTTAATAAATAGGAAGAGGTTTGTTTGTTTGAGATGTTTAGTTTTTTCTAAAATAATTTTTATTTTTTCTAATTTAACTTGCAACTCTAAAAATGAATCGTTGTTAGTGCACTCTGACTGCGATATGAATTTGTAGATCTCTTTCCGAGATCGTCAAAAAGAACTCTGTAAATAAGAACCTTGCACAAATATTTTGAATTTTAATCTGCTTATTTGTTTTGTTAATATTTTTTGCTTTGATATTTTTATGCGTGTCCTTATTTGACCTTTACCACATTTGGTGTAGAGGTTTTCTTGGTCAATGGGAGAGGTTTTTTATAGTCTTTCTTAAATGTATTTTTCAACACGAAATCTTGGGAAAATATTCCGTCCCTCCCAAAAATGGTAGTGAATAGAGGTGGACTTTCCTGGAAGAAATGAAAAATGCTAATTTGAAAAAGGTTCTTGAGAAACTTTAAATGTATGTGGAGTAAACTACCACTACAATTATTAAACATCAATTCACTAGTATGCATGCCATCTTATTTCAATCATGAGGTACCTTATGGTGAATAAAGGTTGGTATTGTCAAACGGTTTTTCCCCACATGTATATTATAAATTTTTTTCGGAGCAACTGAGATAGATTATAAGCAATTATACAAAGCACAAATATTTTTACGGAGCATAGACATAAGTACAATGGCAGTTAAATTAAACATATTTCAACTGATTATCAGCTATTATACAAAATACACATACTTTTATGGAGAATATACATAAGTACACTGACAGTCAAATTAAACATGTAACTAGCTATAAATAATATATATATTTGAAGAACAAAATGGAAGAAGGTTCTAAGTAACATTTTAGCTAATTTAAAAACATCAGTTTTAGAAAATGTAGCAACAGGGGATAATACTTTAAAAAACATATTTTCTTAAAAACTTACTTATTTAAAAATATGGCTGACGAATTTAACCTTTAGAGGGTTAATTAATAATTAAATAGTTTTACATTTCTAATGATTTGTCTGAATTAAGTTGTCTTAGACACACGGCATTAGAAAGAGTTGGAACATTCTCTCAGTTTCTTATATTTAAATAATGGAATTTTAAAAAAAAATGGTACACGTAGTGGCTAAAAGCGCTAATCTAGCTTTCACAGATACAGTGAATTTTCAAGACATCATCTACATTCTAGTCTTAAAACGTAATCATCTCTGTAAAAAATATTAAAATGGCGTCGGAGCAATATGTACAAAACAGTGGCGAAACTAGACAAAATTGAAGAGCACAGAAGCATCATTATACTTTGTTATTACTTCCTATTGTCATCATAGCACATTTGTACTCGAATAAAATGTTACTTTGCACCTTCTTTGACTAAGCTCTTCTAATATACAAAAGGTTTGGGGGAATGTAATGATAAGCCACATTTTTTAATTTTTACCAGAGGGCTTTTAGTGGAAAACAATTCTCAGTTTTCTTTGGCGCAATAAGTTATTTTCATGTATTGGGCAGTTTCCTAGAGAAATTTGTAATGTACCTATCAGGAAAATATACCACCAAGGAACTGTTTGATGTGAAGCTATCATCAAAACTTATCATTATGTCACCTCAAGCCCTTCACGTACAAATACATGCATATTTATAATAACTGTCATAGACAGATATCATGAGGGCTCCCCTATTTGGTGCACTATTTCCTTAATTGTTGTATATGTACCGATGATACACCCAAATATTCCAAATAATATGATGGCAACATCTTTGATGATAATCAGGGTCATCTTTCTTTGGTCTAGAAAGTAAAATTAACATTAATTAAAATAACAGCATAATGTAACTATTTAAAAATATTTTTAAAAAATTATAAGTAAATAAACAAAAAAAATCTAAATATCCGGAAATTTTAAAAGTCAGAATCAGTTTTATTACTTAAACTGAAGCAAAACGAATTCGATTGCAATCTGTAATAACTTTTTCAATGTTCAATTAATTTTGTTTTTAAGAAATCTAACATTACTCTAAGTTTAAAAAAGTCTATCTTACTTTTAGTGATTTAAAATGTCACTTTTTTGTAAAAGATTTTTCCAATATTTTATAACACTGATGATAGATGCATTAATAATATATGTATTTAGTAAAGTTCTTTTCTAAACGGAGTATATTTCTAACACCGTTCGAATTTTATAATGATATTTGGAGCTACATTAAACTTCGAAGTTTTGAAAGTACTCAACAATGTAAAAAGTTCAGTGTATCGGAATAAGAATCACCTTTTAGTTGTTCTCCGAAACGTTTCAGAGAACAATTATAACGTCTTGCACCGAACAGGTTTTCGAAATAAACAAGTTAAAATTTTTGAAACTATATAATAAGATTAAGATTTTGTGTATCTCTGTTGTAACTGCAGAAGCATTTGGTCCAGAAATTTGTGCAGCGACTACAAAGGACAATCCTAATCCCGATCCTAAAAAAAGTCCTTCAAAAGTTAAATTTTCTAGTGATGGACACATGAACTAATTTTTCTCATAAATTGCAGACGATTTTCAAATTTGCATTTTCTCACTAACTCAGCTTTGAACTCCAGACGACTCTAGTTTTTCAATTATTTAATAGACAAAATGAGTTATATTTTTTCAACCATACAGCTCTTTTCGTTAATTCATGGATTTTCTTTCTTTTATATATTAAGTAAGTTTAAGGAAACTCTATTTAAATGGCATGCAAGGGCCATATCTTCATATTAGCATTTTGAAAGCTATCTGAAATCACGTATTTATTATGCATATAGTTGTACTTTTGAAACTCGGTTTTATAAATCTAAATGGTTTCAAATCAATGGTAATTGAAAGATTATAATTAAATAGTATAATTAAATAAAGTAAATATCAAACTGGATGTGGAATATTGCTTAAAAACGGTAAATTCTGATTATGAATTGGCCGCGATTAAAAGATTTGTTTTGATGAATTCAACTTTTAAAAATGTGTTTGCTTAAACGAATTTTTTTACCTTTTTTAAATGATACCTCTCAGTTTCGCGCACGCTTATCACGCGCGCATTGCTTAGTGTTCATTAATACCGAATTATTGGCAACACTGTGGGGATTTTTTGGGGACATATGGATGTGGGGACAAAATTTTTTGCATTTATACTAAATCAGGTGTGAGAATTTTAAATTAGTTTTGTTTTGAACGCTACAGATTTTTTTTTTTTTTTTTTTTTTTTTTTTTTTTTTTTTTTTTTTTTTTTTTTTTGCTAAGTTAATTTTTTTGTCTGAATGTGTATAATGAACGTATAGATTTACATACATATAAATACACTTGTCTGCTCCTTTGAAGATAATACTTGAGACAAAAAACATTTGACCGTAACGTAACAAATCATACTCTGAAATACTTTATCGCCTTCTTCATACCACTCCCAACTTATCAGAAAAGTGGGGACATTTAGTACTGACTCGAGTAAATTTAAAAATATCTTTGTTAGGAATATATTATTGAAGTGCTTAAAAACTGTAGCTTGTAGTGAGAAAATGATTACTGATTTGAAATCGGGGCTGAAATTCGGAAAACTTTAGATGTCAAGACGAATAGGAGCAAAAATTGACAGGAAACTGGAAGAATAACACATTGTAATATATATATATATATATATACAGTCAAACTCCGCTATAGTGAACACGTCTTATAGTGAACTCCCGGATATAGTGAACGAAATGCTCGGTCCCGTGCCTTGCTAAATACGTATAATGTTATTTTTAGTGGATATAGTGAACCAAAAAAGTGAGGAAGTTGGATATAATGAACCTTTTTCTGTCTTCGACTTATTCTATTCTTCATTTTATTGTAATAATTTTGAAATTTCTACTTCAAAATAAATACATATACCGATGTTTAAAACCATCTATAGAGGGGAATGTAGCAATAAGCATTTTTTCTTGTTTGCTTCTTTTATTTCACTTTCCAATCCCTAAACAACCCAAGCAGATGTTTCCAGGCAGATGATGCACCTGCAAGGTGTCAGTGGGATCAATATGCATTTTCTATCAGAGGGAATGAGCAATTATTCATTATTGGTCAAAGGGTTGGACACTAATATGTGTTGATAATTTGTATAATATTGCTTGAA